AAGAGTGTATGTTTGCAGCACTGTTCTTCTGGTATGAGATACATTTATTAATTAGGACTACTAATTGTATAAACAGAACTGACCTGACTATCCAATAATTTTATGGTTAGCATCGGTTTCAAGCATTGAATTTTCTTTTAACTGTGTATTCCTTGAAATCCAGTACCATAAATATTTTACAACCACCAACAACAAAAAATACCTATATGGCATTTTTTTACCTAACATTTGTTAGTAAAAAAATTGTACTACTTGTATTACTATACGTACACAGCAAAAAATTTCTTTATGAGATGCATTCACATGTCTGGCAAACGGTAAACTAGGATAGCTAAGTTGAACGTTGTTAGATGCTTTTTAATGGTGATAGTATCCATTATTCTTGGAAGGTCAATTGTTTCAACATTCTTTGCTGAATGGATTTCAGACTAACTCTTAGCCACTTTAGAGGCTGACCATCGACTTAGCATTTTAATGAATTACTGCTTTGGTTTTTAAGTTAATATTCCCATCAGAGGTGGGCCAGACTTCTTTCCAGTGACAGTTGTTATCTTGATATCTGTCTTTTGGGCACATATGTACATTCTAGACTTCTTTTGACAGTCACTTGTTGGTCCACATCTGGGATAGGGGAATCAAATTTTTTGTAACAATAGAGTATGAGACTACTACTTTGCCAAGGGAAAGAACACAATGCATATCAACCCTTGTAATTACTTTGGACGGCTTGAGGAAGCCAGGAGTCAAGGTGCTGCTCATTTCCTTCAACATTTTGCCCTTCTTCTCATCCTATGATGAAGAGATGATTCAGAAAATTGTGACGAGAATGGGAATGATCCACTTTCATTGACATGGGAGCTGAAAACACATCAGTGTCAACATACTTAATAGTGAGAGGTGTTTTTGTTAAGTGCTGTAGTTCCACAGTTGAGTTGATTTTTAAGTCTAACATATCTTCCATGATAACATTTAAATTGATTCTTATTCGATAAGAATGCAAGGTTGAAAGACCAATAGTTGGTTTCTAAAATGATAATGATCTGTCTGTTGCTTGATCCTATGCTGAACAGAAAAGCAATAAGGTCAGTGCTAGTTCACCTATTCCATAAGAGTTCAATATTTCAAGTTTTAGCAAAGGGTAGTTGTGATTGGTAAAACTTATAATTCAGATCATACAGCTTTCCTAGTTGGTGAGATTATCTTTTATTCCAAGCTGTAATAAAATTTAGAGATCGCTGTCACTGTGGTCATGTGTTTGAGAACATTAGTCTCTTGAGCAGCAGCAGCTTTTCTTCTGACTCTTTATAAACAGATGGGGAAGGATCTTCGTGCTTTCATATGGCATATGACAGCTGAATTTAATGGATTGCATCACTGTAGAAGTAGATAAGGTTAAGTCCAACCAAATCTGAGATATTTTCATTCTGTAAGTTTATACCAGAGTCACACCCACTCTCCTTTATTTAACTGATGTTCTTTCATCACATTCTGGGTTCGTATGCACCTGGAGAATTGCTTGAAAAATTTACTTCTGTTGCTAATGCTTTGGAATAGTGTTTTATAAATAAAATATGTTTTAAGTAATCATACATTCTATACCAATGAAAGTTGCAACTATAAAATACAGCCAGTCCTCATTATTTGTCATGGACGTGTTCCTGAGCGCCATGGCAAACAATGAAAAACAGAGCCAACTAACTAATTGACTTACATGGAAGATCTGTTCTGACGATGAAAATGTTTCTATAATAAAGTATTTGATGTAATTTTACTCATTATTTTTACAATAATATCTTACAAAGTGCATTAATATACAGAATTGCCTGAAAAAAATACTAATAAATTTAATTAATAAAAATGCATCTTAATAAAGATAAATTAATTTATGAGTAACACTCACCGATGATGGTCTCGAAGTTGACTCCTTGTGGGTAGGGTAGGTCATCTGCCTCCTCTTCAGGTGTAGGTGTAGCTGCCTGTTTCTTAACAAAAGAAGAGATGGTAAGCTGTCTTGTTTTCTTTCTTTATAAATTTCTTGGTAACAAGAAATTGCATCCTGCATCTTCCTAGCCACTGCACTGCTGCACTCCATGTCAGGGTCATTTTCAGAGGGAAGTTCCATTGCTTCATTGACCTTATTAAAAATGTCTGAGAGCACTTTGCATGTAGGACTCTCTCTAGTGGAGCCTCTTCAGCAGCATCACTTGCAACCATGTCTTCTGCTTGTTGGAACAGCTTTATGAGGTATTTGTTTGTTAAACTCTCCCCATGAGAATTTAGTTACTCATCCACATCACTGTCATTTACTTCATTGAAACCAGCATGCTGTGCAAGCTGTACGATGTTGTTGTGAATTTGAGACATATCAGGTTTAAAACTAATGAAGTCGTATATGAAGTCAGGCCACAGCTTGACATGCACTTGACAGTCACTTCCCACCATGTTTTTCACTACTTTCATGATATTATAATTGCACCAAAATTTCCTAATTTCCACGATTGGTGGGGTCAAGAAATAATGTGCAATATCCACTGTTTGTTCACTGGCCTCAAATCTTTGTATAATTTTCAGCTTTTGCTCCAGTGTCATGTTTTTCTTCTTAGCCACTTTGCTTTGTAGCACTACACTATTACGTGCTGGACATTTAGAGGCTATAATTAAGAAAGGGTGGGCACTTTAACACAAAAAAAACAACCAAAAAACAGCTAAACCAACATGGAGCACAACTGAACTGGAAGAAAGCATGGCAAAGTTGTGTTTGAAACAATAAAGGGACATCGTCCAGTTCCCACAAAGTTATTGTACAGTCAGACAAACTGTACATACATTTATTTTTAATTATTGTGCAATTAGACAAACTTGTTGGGTATCCCCTCTTCTCTAATTTCTTTATCACCACTTCTATATGTACAAAATTTAACGTGAATTACTCATTATAATATTGTCCTTGTTCAGGCAAAGCATAATTTTCATAGCCTTCAACCTTGATTAGTTACAGAGCAACCAAATAGAAAATCAGACCCCTCCTGCCATGCCCACATTTTCACATCCTTTCTTTTAGAAACTGCCAATAGTTTCTCTTACTTTTAATACTACATTATTGATAACCAATTGAAAGCCAAAGTTTTAAATTATCAAACAAAGTATTATATTATGTTCTCTCTACAGATAATTGTCAATTTCACTTTCAGTCCAAGCTGGTTTCCCTCAGGAAAGAAATTAAAGAGGGCAGTCAAAGTAACCAACTTTGTAAAGAGGAGAAAATAGTAGATAAAATATAAACTTTTATTGAAAAAATACATTTGAAATGTGTTTAGAGATTATGCAAATAAAACTTGAGATTTATGAGAGGAAGAAAAGTATTTTAATCTTAGCATGAATATCACTTTGCACAAAGACTAGTCAAAAAAAAAAACTTCATATATTCTTGGACAAATCTTTAGTAAAAATACTTCATTAAAAATCTGACTTTGGGAAGAAAAAAAAGTTTTAAAGTTTACTAAAAGTCTGCCAACTTTTGTGAAGATATATATACTGTATCTAAAGCTATAATATGGAAATTATATTGATTACAAAGTGGTGATGAGGTCAGTCAAATCGACTGACCATGTGGTGATAGGGTGAATTTATTTTCAAATGACAAATTAATGAAACTATGAACAAGGGGTGAAGAATGAGGACTGGCTGTATAAAAGATCTAGAGAATAATAAGACCAAAGGAAAAATACTTTTACACCTTTTGTTAAATGACACCATATAACACCAACTTTTAGATCATAGATAGGAATGGGACCCTATATTCTTGTAACATAATCTAATTTATGTGTGGTAATACCACAGAAGAATCAATTTGATGTAGTAAATTAGAGTTGTATGATACCAAAGTTGTACATCTGTTATCAGCCAATATTTGCATTATCCGCTATCAGAAAATTCATCTACTAAAATATGAATAAAAAGTGATATTCAAAAGAAAGAGGCAGTTTAAATAACATAAACATTAATGTTCAATTGATGCATCATTGCACATCACTGTACTTTTTTAACATGTGCATTCACAGCAAACATTTTAATGGTGCAAATCTCACAATATCACTGATTGTAAATTAGAACTGCACAGTTTAGAATGTCAGTATTTTCATATTTACAGTCAATAATGAGTGGAAGTGAGAACCTGAGAATTGTGCTTGAGTGCATGATCAGTGGTAGTGATGGTGAGGGAAAGTTGTTTATTTTGGGGAGCAGCAGTCAAGTTGACAAAAGTTCCAGCCAGTTGGTGCAAAAATTGGTGGCAGTTCAATTGGCAGTGGCCTGTAAATCCAGAGTACAAAGAATGGATCACAGGAGATATATCATCTCGGGTATTTAGTGTATGATAAAAATTTTGACATTGATGACATGGGTGAGGATGTACTGCCCAACCATATACGTGGAAAGAAGCATACATCTGCTATCCAATGATTCAAGGTTAATGTATGGGGGTGAGATAAGATAACCATAATAAATACCTGGTAAAAATGATTAGGACTAAAAGTATTTTATGTGATTTCTATGTATACTGGTCATTTTTCATGGTTAATTGTGTCAGCCTAATGACTTTTGGGTATGGAAGTGTCCAATTAATCCTGGAAAAGGTTTGAAAAGTTCTTGGAATTGTTTTAACTGTACAGTGTATGAACCCTGTATATGATATTAACTTCTCTCTCTCTCTCTCTCTCTCTTGGCCATCTTCCACACACACACACACACACACACACACACCC